TCTCCATACATATGCCAATACTTGGTGATGTCTGCCTTTGATGTTTGAATGTTTCTTCATTTCTTTTGCTCATTTAAAACTTGGCTTGTTTGTTTTCTTATTGAGTTGTAAGAGCTTATTTACATATTCTCAGATATAGTCTTTTATCTGATAGATGATTTGTAAATATTTTCTCCCTGTCTATGGCTTGTCTTTTCATTTTTTTAAGAAAATGTCTTTTGAAGCTCAGGTTTTAATTTTAATGAAGTCCAATTTGTCAATTTTTTCTTTGATGGCTTCGTGATTTGGTGTTGTATCTAAGAACTTTTTGCTTAACCCAAAGTCATGAATATTTTCTTCTAATTTTTTTTCTAAGATTTTTGTAGTTTTAGATCTTATATTTAGGTCTATGATCCATTTTGAGTTAATCTTTATGTATTGGTGAGGTAAGAGTCTAAGTTAATTTTTTGGCATACGGATATCCACTTGTATCAGCACCCTTTGTTGAAAAGACTATCTTTTCTCTATTGAATTATTTTGGTACTTTTGTTGAAAATCAATTGACAGTAAATGTACGTGTTTATTTCTCATCTCTCAGTTTTGCTCCATTGATTTATATGCAATCCTCAGGCAAATACCACACTGTCTTGATTACTATAGCTCTATAGAAGGTTTTGAGACTGGGCAGTATGAATTTTATTCTAACTTTGTTCTTTTTCAAAATTATTTTGGTTATTCTGGATCCTTTGAATTCTTATAAATTTTGAGATCGTTTTGTTAATTTCTACAAGTAATGCCTGCTGGATTTTTGATAGGTATTACATTGAATCTCCAGCTCATTTTGGGGAGAAAAAACATCTTCCCAACATTGAATCTTCCAATCCATGAACATAAATGTCTCTCAGTTTATCTAGATCTTCTTTAATTTTCTTAGCGATGGTTTGTTAACTTTATTCTCGGTATTTTATTCTTTTGATGTTGTTGTGAATTGTTCCTTTAATTTCATTTTCAGAGTGTTAGTTGCACACATTTATTATAATATATACAATTGATTTTTAAAATATTGTGACCTTGTTAAACTTGTTTGTTAGTTCTAGTAGTTTGTGTGTGTGTGTGTGTGAGTTCCTATGGCTTTTCTATATATAGGATGATGTCATATGTGAATAAAGACAGTTTCACGTTTTTTCTTTCTGGTCTGGATACCTTTAATTTCTTTTTTCCCATCATGGCACTGACTAGAACCTTCCATAAACTAGATGTAATGAGAGCAAACTTTCTTAACTTGTTCCCAATCTTAGGGGAAACCAATAAGTGTATATTAGCTGTGGATGTTTTGTAGATACACTTATTGGGTTGAGAAAGTTCCTTTCTATTCCTGACTTATTGAGAGTTTTATCCTGAACGGATGTTGGATTTTGTTAAATGCTTTTTCTGCATCAATTGAGATGACCATGCGTTTTTTTTTTCCACCTATTCTATGAATATGGCATATTACATTAATAGTTTATCAAATGTTAAAGCAACCTTGCATTTTTGGAATAAATCTCATAGTGTATAATCCTTTTTATATGTGGCTAAATTTGGTTTGTTAATATTTTTGCATCTGTGTTCTTGAGGGATATTGGTCTGTGGCAGGAGTTGGCAAACTTTTTCTATAAAGGACCAAATAGTGAATCTTTGGGGATTGGTGGCTGTTGAACCTCTGATGCAACTACTCACCTCTGCTGTTGGAGAGCAAAAGCAGTCATAGATGATATGTAAACAAATGGGCATGTCTGTGTTCCAATAAAACTTTATTTACAAAAGCAGTTGATAGGCCAGATTTGGTGAGACTCTGGGTCGAAAGTTTTCTTTTCATGTGATGTCTTTGTCTGGCCTTGTCGTCAAGGTAATACTGGCTTCACAGAATGAGTGGGGAAGTGTTCCGTCCTCATCTATTTTCTGAAAGAATTTGTGAAGGATTAGTATTATTTCTTCTTCAAGTATTTGATGGAATTCACCAGCGAAGACCTCTAGCACTGGGCTTTACTTTAAGGGAAGATTATTTATTTCGAATTCAATCTCTTTACTTGTTACGAGTCTATTCAATTTTTCTTTCTTCTTGAGTCACTTTTAATAATTTGTCTTTCTAGGAATTCATCCACTTCATCTAAGTTGTCTTATTTTTTTGGCATAAAGTTGTCCAAAATATTCCTCATAATCCTTTAAGTTAATTCTGATTTTGGTAATTTGTGTTTCCTCTCTTATTTTCTTGGTCAGTCTAGCTGATGCATTGACTTTCCTTATCAATATATCCAATGTCCCTCTTTGTTCTAGTAATATTTCTTGTCTTAAAGTCAATTTTGTCTGTTAGCAGTGTAGCCTCTCCAGCTGTCTTATGGTTACCCTTCGCAGGTATACCAATTTTTTACTTTGAGCCCCTTTGTGTCTTTGAATCTAAGGTGGGTCTCTTGTAGGCAGCATATAGTTTGGTATCACATTTTTAATCTAGTCTGGCAATGTCTGCCTTTTGATGGAAATGTTTTTCCCATTTACATTTAATAATTTACGTTAAATTATTTATATCGTTGGATTTACATGGGCCATTTTACTGTTTCTTTAAATTTGTTTCGTCTTAAGTCTTCTTTTGTTCTCCTGTTATTTCTTTACAGCCTTTTATTGTGTTAAGTATTTTTAGGCCACTATTTTGAGTCCTCTGTTGATTTTGAAACCATTCTTTGAGTCATTTTTCTTAGAGGTTGATTTAGGGATTATAAGCTGCATCTTAATTTATCACAGTCTGTTTTGGAATACTACGTATTTTCTATTTGATGAGTCATTGTTATTTTACCTTCTTTTAATTATTTAAACATGGTTTCCTTTAGTCCTTTGAACATAATTATAATAGCTTCTTTGAAGTCTTTGTCTGCTAACGCCAACATCTGGGGACGCATAGAGGCAGTTTCTGTCGACTGTTTTTTTTTTTTTTCCCAAGTATGTTTACACTTTCTTGTTTCTTGCAAATCTCACAATTTTTATTGAATGCTGGAAATTTTAGAGGGAAGATTATTTATTTGTAGCAACTCTGTCTTCTGATTATTTCCTTCCTAATGATTGTTGTTCTTGTTCTTATTTTGCTTGAGTGTTTGGTAATTTACTTGCTGGGCTAAATCTGTCAACCTGGTCTCCTCCCCAGTGTGCAGCTACGGATGTCTCTGCCCAACTTTCTTTTTCTCATATTTTAAAATCTGGCTTCCTAGGGGTCGTCTCTGTATCCACATAGTTTAATATTCAGCCAAAAGTAGGTCAGAGGTTATGTTCAAACTTTGAGCCACTGCTATTCACTGCTGGTGCGTGCAGCACGCACTCAGCACACACGTCTGCACTGGCTCCAATGGCCAGGGATGTGTAAGTGGCCTGGGCCTGCTCTGGTCTCTACTATACATGTGCATAACCTCTGGTCAATCAGGAAATACAGAGAACTCATCACATACCCTACGGCTGCCTCACTACTAGGAACTCCAAGCTCTCAGTCCATTGTTTGTGCCAAATAGGATTACAAACTTGGACCACTGGAGCTGCTGGCCTCCCCTGTTTCCTTCCCACCAAGATGGTCACTTTAGCCAACAATCCTCCAAATCAAGTGAGCTCTATCAGACAGTGACAGTGAAGCTACTGGTTTTCATGGACTACCACCCTAGTTGAACTATTACGCTGATAGAACTGGGGATAGGGACACCAGAGAAGCCTCAGGTAAATACACTACAAACTGGTTTTATGAATAAAAGCTCTTAGTTTGTTCTGCGCCTTTGATTTTTCAGAGTGCTAATACAGCACTATAGTTTTGTCCAGAGTTACAGTTGCTTTTTAAAAACTATTATTGTGATAAAAATATGCATAACATAAAGTTTACCATCAAAACCATTTTAAATTCAGTGGCATTGTTACATTCATATCTATTTGCAACCATCACCACCATCTACCTTCAGGACTTTTTCATCATCCCCAACTGAGACTCTGTAACTGTTAAATAACTCCCTGTTTCCCCCTCCCCCCGGCCCCTGGCAACCCCTACTTTGTGCTTTAACCTCATTTAGTCCTCACAACAAGCCCTTGTTTTAAGTATGTAAATGAAATAATATTTTAAGGACAAGGATGGGAGTTAAGTTCCAAAATTGGTATAATCAAAATTACCCAAGTTAAACACTGACTTTCATTGTATGCTCACCCCAGGCAGAATGGTAGGGGACTAAAAAAGTGCTCTCTCTCTCCTCCTCCTCCCAACATGCGTTTGATTTGAAATTAGTTAACTATGATGTGACTCCACTTGACTATTATCATCCACGTTTTACCGATGAGGAAGAGGGATCATGAAGTGGAGAAGTGGAGGGGCAGAGTAGAGGCGGAGACACCGAAAAGGATGCCCAGTAGTCCTTGCGGGGAGGTTCAAACTGTGGCAGGGGCTGGAGAGCAGGGTTCTTCAGGCGGGGACAGGCTCGCTGTGGGGGGTTACTGATCCCTCAGAGAGCCAAAGGATAGCGGGCGAGACCCCACTTAACATCTCTCCCTCATCCCCAGCCTTTCCCCACCTGGTTACTCACCTGCTCGGAGGACTTTAGGTTTTTCTATTCGTGATTAACCAACGCTGTGCCTGCGTTGCTAGGTTACCCACCAATCTCAGAAGGCGGGACTCGGCGTCTGATTGACTTTGTTTTTCACCATTCAATTCCTTATTCCGATCAGTTCGCTCCACCTGCTGAAGACTGACCAATCAGGAGCACCGTCTTTCTGACCCTCCACCAATTGAAAGACTCGGGCCTCCCTCTGGGTTGGGCTGAACGTGTAAGGCGGGGAGAATGGGAAGAGGAAAGGGGCGGGGCTCCTTCGTCCCACCCCTTCTCAAGGAGGCAGGCAGGGAATCCTGCATCAGCAGCGGGCAGAACTGGGGAGGAAGTGAGGCTTGGCCAATCAGAGCTCATCATGACAGCCTAGGTAGCCAATAGGCCCCGGCGAAAGGGGAATGGGGTGGGGCTGGCGGGGTGGAGGGGACGGTAGGCGGCGGATGGGAGAGCTGGCGCAGCTGCCGTGGTGGCAGCGGCTGAAGTGGTGGCGGTGGCTGCAGCGGCTGCTGCAGCTGCAACAGCTCCGGGCTCAGGGCTTTGGCGGAGGCGCCGGCGGGCAGGGCTGCGCAGTGTGGACCCCGGCGCGTGGTCCGGGTTGCTGGGGCAGCTCGTGTAAGAATCCAAGGGTTGCGAGGGATGGCCTGGAGGAGAGGGCAGGGGTCAGGGGTCAGGGCGCGGAGTAAGGGGTTGCAGCTGGGCGTTGGGGTGTGGGAGGCGGGCAGGGCGGGCCCAGAGGGGCTGCGGGGAAGTTATCACCGCGCATCTCCCTCCAGCCTTGGTTGGGGGCGGCCCCAGCGTGGGATCGCTCCTGGAAGCCTGGGGCGGAGAGAGGGGGCGCAAAGCGGAGCCAGTGGAACAGGAGCCAGCGCACTTCGCGTATCTTTGCTCCTCACCTCCGTCAGCTACTCATATCCCTGTAGCCCGCAAGAGACTCGTGCTCTGTCAGGCTGTCCGAGTGGACAGCGGGATGGCTGCTGGCCCTCTTCCTCTGGGACCTGTTCCCAGGGGTGACCCTTCCCTTCTGGGTCTTCTATAGATGGAGGAGCAAAGCCCGCAAAAGGAACACTGGGCTAGGACTCAGGAGTCCTGCACTGTGTGACCTTGGGCAAGTCCCTTCTCCTCTCTGGGCTTCGCTTTTTCTTTTCTGTAAGATGATGGTTTTGCCTTCAAACTGGGGGACTCATTCTGGGAAGAGGTGAAGAGTAATGGTTAAGGGGGGGGGGAGGGTCCCTGATTCAGACTGCCTGGGTTGAAATCTGGGCTTTATTACTTCCTTCCTGTTTACTTAAAAGAGGCTGGTTAAATTAACCCCTCTAAACCTCAGTTTCCTCACCTGTGAAGTGAGGGCATTAGGTAATTAGGATTTCCTAAGAGCAGCACTGTTTTGAGCCACATATTTCTATGTTGTGGTGGGTTTCCCCTGTGTACTGTAGGATGCTTCTGGGCATTCTTGGCCTCTACCTGCTAGCACCTCCACCCCCTAGTTGTGACAATCAAGAATGTCTCCATACTTTGCTAGTGTCCCCTTGGGGGCAAAAATCACTCCGGCTGAGAGTCACAGAGCTAATGCATGCATTACAAGCAAACAGACATATTATACAGTGTAAATAAAGATAGGTGGCTATTATGATAACAATGATAAAATTAAGAAAGCTCTTCTTGAGTTGAGAAGGTTAATAGACTCTCCCGCCTTCCAAGTAAATACAGGAGAGAATGACAAGATGTTAATCATTGTCAAAGCTGAGTGGTTGATACCAGGAAGTTCATTTACATAGTCTCTCTACTCTTGAGTATGTTTGAAAATATCTGTTATACAAAGTTAAGCCAAAAGGAAAAAAAAAAAAAACAAACCTATAATTCTTAAGACAGCCAAATGGTAGTGTCTCATTTGGGATTTCCTTTTCTGTCTCCCCACTACGGAGATTTAAAAGTAAAATTAATCCCCAAATCTGGAGGCAACTTAAAAAAAAATCTCAGGAAGATTGCTGGGCAGGGCCCTACACGCTTGGCAGCAAAGAACAGTGATCACTTTTACTGCCTGATTTTAAGAAGATACTGACTCACAGTGGCCTGCCCGGATTGTGGTGATTCGTGAGGGAAGTAAATTGCCGGGCTGCCATTCAGTGCGTTAGTTTGGAAGCAAACTTGATGGAGATTAGAAGGCCACAGTTTGAGGAAGGAACCTGCTGCTGTTTTCAAGTTCAAAGGTCTGCTGTCAGATCTGCTGAGTGTTGCTTTTCTTTTGGTCCTTCTCAGCAGAAATGGGGATGTGTATAAATAGGAACTGTCATAGGCTGGCTCTGACCGTTTTGGACTGGGAGTTCAGAATGAGCATTTTTGCTGTGTGACTCTGGACATCACTTAAAAAAGAAAGGTCTAGTCTCTTCCCTTTCCTGAACTATTTAAATCTAAGAGAATATTACCTGTATAAGAATGATAGGGGCAAGTGTAGATGAGCTGACACACTAACATTTTTTAGGTCATTGGGGCTCCGTGCTGCCTGAAAACCTGGGCTGGGACTTGAAGGCATAGGGGCTGGGAGCACCGATCTGGAGTCAGATTGTGTCCGGAGTCAGTTCAAAGCCTGGCTTTCCAGCTGTGGGTTCTTGGGCAGGTTACTTAACCTCTCTGAGCCTTAAGTCTCTCCCTGTGTGATGAGGGATAATAATCCTACCTATGTATTATGAAGTTTCCATCAGCTTTACCTAAAAATTGCCAGAAGAGCTCCTGGTACATAGTAGGTACTCATTGAGTACTTACTACTATTATTTTAATGGTTGTATATATATATATATATATACATGTGTATATATTTTAAGTCTTTAAGACCTCTATAAGACTCACATGAACAAGGGATAAGAGGGGTGGAGGTGGAACATATTAGCCATAATCTTAATGTACAGACAGAATTACCCTTAACTTTTCAGTGTTAGTTCTTGTAGAGTTCTCTCCTCATATTTTAGTGGTATTATACTGCAAAACTCCTTTTTTAGTAAGATATAATTCACATTACTATAAAACCCACCATCTTAAAGGGAACCATTCAGTGGTTTCTGTTATGTTCGTAAGTTTATGCAACCATCACCATTACCTAATTCCAAAACATTTTCATCAGTAATGGTTGTATTTTGATAGTTTTCTTTCTTCTTTTTCTTCTTCTTTTTTTTTTAATCCTCCAAACCCTTAGAAGATGCCTCTGATGGAGGAGTTTCTGAGAAGCACCTCTGAGCCCGTGGCTTTGATCGGGAGCTCAAAGCAGAGACTATTTAAAGCTCTGGACATCACATCCTGAGAACTGCAGGAGAGGAGAACATGGCTGTGAGTTTAGATGATGACGTTCCCCTCATCTTGACCTTGGATGAGGGTGGCGGTGCCCCGCTGGCTCCCTCCAATGGCCTGGACCAAGAGGATCTGCCTAGCAGAAGTAAGATGGTAGTGTGGGCTGGGGGAGGGGTTGCAGCTTTTTTGTTTTAGGGGGTGAGTTATGGACTTGGTGGTCCGATGGTAGACCCATGTACCTGAATGCCTGACCCCACTTTTGACTCTCAAGTTCTGGTGCACAGACTCTGGGAAACTGTGGGGTCCTGATCCTGCGTCCCCAGTTTAAGGATGCTTCCAGGCTAGGCTACCTTCTCTTGTACCTGTGGTACCCTGGCTTTGCTCTTGGATGCTCGGTGGGGACCTCAGGCAAACTCTTCCTTGGCTGACTTCTCTGCCCCATTCCCTGTTAAAAAAAAGGAACATTTCAACATCGGCCTCCGTCTGTCCCAGTCTGAAACATTTGGCAGGACAGTGGAGTTGACTGCTTCTCCCCGCTGGTGCTCTCTCCCTGCACTGCCCAGGACACGGTGGAGGGGAGCAAGCATTTGTTGTGATGCATTGATTTGAGGGTTTGAGGTTTTGCTTTGTCTTCCTTTAAAGCAAAGCCCAGCAGCACAAAGTGAACCCAAGAGAGATGGTGAGCTTTAAATTTTTTAGATTTTGAGTGTGTTTCTGGCAGAATGAGAGGCCTTAAAAACCTTTCTGGTCCTTGTCCTGAAGCTATTTACTTCAATTGCTCAAGCGTTTCGTTCAGGAGAGGCTTAAAATGACTTGCTTTTTATGGAGGGGGTGTCCTACGATGTCAGGGGCTAGTGCTTTAGGGTCTCCTTAGGTGTGCTACCCACCAGCCACGCTCCTGAGTCAGGACAGAGGGGTGTTGCTCTCCTCCGGTTCACAGGTGAACGCTCTTGGGTCTGGTGCAAGATAAGCTAGCTCTCCCGTCTCCTCTGTCCAGAGAGAACACAGTTGGCTTACAGGGAGCTTAATAGCCTCCCCTTGGAAGGGGTGCAGGACAGCATGGTTCTCATGGATGGGAGTGCAGTGGGATGCCTAGCTCCCTCTAAACTGGCCTCCCCCCTGCTTTGACACGTTCACCCAGCGAGGGTGGCAAAGCTGGGTGGTCCAGGAAGGTTAGGTTGTAAACCAGATTTTTCCCTAAGCGCCATTCAGGGCCAAGAAATCATTGGCTTCGATTTCAGGCCCACTTCTTAAATGCCCTAGAGCTGGCAAGCTAAGCATTAGGCTCTTCCGTACCTGTTATCTTAACTAGGATCCTTTTGTAAGGAAGGCAGGGTTACCTTTGTTTTACAGCAGAAGAAACTTTGAGTCAGAGAGGTTAAATGACTCACCCGATGTCACACAGCCAAGCAAGTGGTTGAGCAGAGATTTGAACCCAAGACTCTTTGACCCCAGAGTTTCTTCCCCTCTTCTTCCCTCTTTCCTCTTCCTCCTCTCCTTTTTCTCCTCCTTTTTTCTTCACAAGCCCTTAATAAATGTGAATGCCGGCCCTTAGTATTTACGTGTATTATTTTATCATATAACCTCAAGATAGAGTTGTTATTATTATCCATATTTACTGAGGAAGAAACAGCCTCAGAGAGGTTAAGTACTTGGCCAAGGTCACACAGCTAGCCAGCAGCAATGCCTCCATGATCAGCCCTCTCATGCCATGGGGTAAGGTGCTTTGGGGAAAGGGACACAGATGAGAATGACTTGGTCTCAGCTTCAGAGTAGGCGACCCTCTACTGAGGAGGGCGGTTACATCCATGGCCAATGAGGGAATGGACTGGAGGAGGGCTGGTTGACATGCTGAGGGGGTGATCTTTCTGGAAATAGGCTCTAGATTCTAAACTGGAATCTTTGTCATTGTCGCGGGTGCCACTTTTAAGTTCTTCTGCTGTCTCAGAGCGCATGGCAGGGTGTCCAGCTCTCTAGCAAAGTCAGAGTGGGAGGAGCAACCACGTTCAGTGTCAAGATCAAGTTGTGAACCGATGACGGGTCTGAATGACCGAGGGATAAACCAAGTAGACAATAAAATGAACCTTGGATAGTGAGGCCGTTCATTTCTTGGTGAAGTCGGTGGCTCGTTTTAGTTTAAGAGAAATGAAATCTAGGTGGGGAGGGTATAGCTCAGTGGTAGAGTGTGTGCTTAGCTCGCACAGGGCCTGGGTTCAATCCTCAGTACCTCCATTAAAAGAAAAGAAAATGAAATCTGAAACTGACAGGGCCCAAGGATATCGTGCTTTCTGTGAAGTGCATCAGTGCCTCAGTTTCTTCTCTCACCCTCTTCTTGAGATATTTGCTAAAACCTCTAAGAATTAAAGGGTGTAACCCACCAGGCTTGGCTGGGAGAAACAGTAGGAGGAAAAGAGAGATTTCAGAGGAGTCCTGCCTGCTCTGCCTCCTCTGTGTAGGCCCTTCTTATTTTGTACTTGGATTTTGGCACTGACTTTCTACCCAAGGCCCCCCATCCCTGCTTGTCTGAGCAGTCCGTCTGAAAACACAGATCCAACCTGGTACGGGCATACCTAATTTTATTGCGCTTTGCAGATACTGCTTTTTTTTTTTTTTTTTTTTTTTTTTTTTACAAATTGAAGGCTTGTGGCAACCCTGTATCAGGCAAGTTTCTCAGCGCCGGTTTTCCAACAGCATCTGCTCACTTCCTGTTTCTGTGTCACGTTTTGGTAATTGCGATGTTTCAAACCCTCCACCAGCAAAAGATTACAATTCACTGAACGCTCAGATGATAGCATGTTTTTTTAGCAATAAAGTATTTTTTTATTAAGGTGTATACATTGTGTTTTTTTTTAAGCATAATGCTGTTGCACACTGCCTAGACTACAGTGTAGTGTAAACATAACTTTTCTATGCACTGGGAAACCAAAAAATGTGTGTGACTCGCTTTATTGCCATATTCACTTGATTGCGGTGGTCTGGACCGAACCGGCAATATCTCAGCGGTGGGCTGGTAATTTCCCCAGGTTGCAGCTCCCAGGACCTTCCTGTCCCCTGCAGGCTACAGGCCAAGCTCCTTACGCCATCGTACGCCAGTGCACCTTCTTTCCTGACCAGTCCCGTCTTTTGCGTTAGCCCACAATTCTAGTTCTGTGAGTCCCGTGTACATTTTTAAACCTCTGTGCCTTGCTGGCAACTGTCTGGCATGTTTTTTCCCAGCCTCTTGTTTACTCATGAGTTTCAGTTCTGTCTCGAAAATCCCGCTGGTAATCCCATCTCTTTGAAGCCTTCACTGAACCTCCCCCTTCCCGACAGGGCTAATTACTCACTGCCCTTTTCTGCTGTGGTATCTGGATTAGGCTTCCATTATTACAGTAGCTGACTGTGTGGTAATTACTTGTTTAACCATCTGAGCATCTACCAGGCCCTGAGTGTTCATTCATCTCTGTATCACCTAGCTCGATGCCTGCCGGATGTAGGTACTCAACAAGTCAGGATCAAATGAACCTGGTTGGGTTTCTGGAGCCCTGTGGCTCATGGAAGTGGCTGACTGAGGGCACCGTCAGAGGTGGGCGGCATCTTCTTCTGCCTCTTCTAACCAGAAGTTTGGGTCCCGTTGCTCCCAGCACAGCTGATTGTCCCAGGGGCTGCATCATTGCCCTCCAGTCTGTGGCTGAGATGAACCCTGGAGGTATTAACGACTTGGCAGAATGCAGACTGAGGCCTTCAGCAGAGTTGGCAGCTCTCTGGGCATGACAGCCACTGAGGACTAAGCCAGCTTTCCAAGAGCGTGAGCCTTGATCAAGCGGTCACTGATGCTTTCCTCCGGCTGTGCATTTCACATGCCTTGTCTTAGTGTGCTTGGGCTGCCGTGACAAAATACTGCAGATTAGGGGAGCCAGAGTCGGGGGCTGGGGGGTTAACCCCTGGAGATGTATTGTCTCACAGTTCTGGAAACTGGAAGTCCAAGATCAAGGCGTCGGCAGGGTTGGTTTGTCTGAGGCTTCTCTTGGCTTCTGGACAGCTGCCTCCTCACTGTGTCCTCAGTCTGGGTTTCTGTGTCCTAGTCTCTTATAAGGACTCCAGTCATATTAGATGAGGATCCAGTCATGTGACCTCCTTTTACCTTAATTACCTCTTTAAAGGCTCTGTCTCCCGATAAAGCCACCTTCTGAGGTCCTGAGGGTTAGGACTTCATAGGAACCTTAGAGGGGCACAATTCAGCCCGTCACACTCCTGCCCTTTCCTCAGCTCGAGGTCCGCAGGAATCTGGCTGTGTTGCCTCTGACCTTTGACCTTATGCTAAGGATGACCTGTGCTGGGGCATCATCCCTACAGGAAGCTGGAGGCTTTGGATTTTTTTTTTCCCTCTTTATCAGCAAGGATGGATTTTCTCCTTGCTGCAAACATCTCTGGGCTGCTGAAATGCTAATGAATGACTCACAGGCAGGAGATGTCAAGTTGATAAAGGAGGCAGGTATGAGCAGAGGTATTTAAAGCCTGGAAATTAGGAATAACCTTGGAAAGAGTCAGTGCTGCTGGTGTTTGTTTAGAGACAGCCCGCTGTCCACGTTGCGTGTCCATCTGTGGTCTGGACCGCCCCTAGACCATAGAGTCCGAATGTTGTGGGTAATACCAGAGATTTTTTTTTCCCGGGGAATTCTGGTCACATTCAGCTTTTGCCTGCACACTGCCTAAGATGGGCCAGTTCTACATGCCTCTTCTGGGTGAAAAAAGGATTTGGGGCGAGGCAGGTGGCTGAGGCTTGAGCAGGGCACTTAGTCTCATGGACTCCTTTGGTGTTGGTGGTTCATGATTTCCAGGTGACAAGCCATGCCGGGATAAGGCCTCAGGTGATGGAGCAGAGGACCCTCTCTCCCTCCTTCACCTCAGTGCCTCGTACATCACTAGGAGTTACCTGGGACCCAATACGAGGTGGAGGGCCACCACCGCCTGGCAGGGGTTAACACATGGTGGGAGCCCTGGCTCCCTTTCCAGAGTCTTCATGGCACCGGAGCCACTTGGTACCAGGCTCAGTCAAGGTGAGCCAGCGCTGTTGGCCTCAGGGCAGAGGTAGTCACTGTGAGCCAAGAAAGAGCAGTGGGGCTGTTTACTCAGGATGGCCACCTCCACAGGGGGCTCCCCACA